TAATGTGAATATTTGCCGAATTCACCAGACAGTATTGGCCTGTATAAATATGTAATGTAAATAAATGTGTATGTTATAAATATATAGTTCTTATTCAAACTTGTTCTTCAATCTGACAGTTTCCATTTGATGACGCGATGACTCCATCAATACTTTTGCAGACCTTGGCAATTCTGCCAGTTTAAGATCAAGCTTCGAACTTGACAACATTTAAAGTACAACTGTTGTTTTCGATTGTGTTCAGATGTGAAGCAACATGCTTTAGAAAACTTTTCCATGTTATTTCTTTTTTTGGATGTTTAGCAGCGATATTTATCATTCTTTCTTTAATTTTTAGATCCATAACTGATTTTAAATTATGCAGTGCTACTACTACTAGTTTCAGATTTCAAATCACTTTCTTTATGCTTATAGGAAGCAGCACGTTCAACAACTAAATCTAGAAATAGCGAATAATTACGAATGTCATTTGAATTAAGGCCATGTTTGATGAATGAAGACAGCTTCCACTTCTTTTGTCTACTTTTTGCAGCAGGTGGATAATTATCAATTGAACAGTCACTACTTGACGTGTTATAGTCTAATTCTTTTTGTGTTATTTCGCCCAAATACTAAATAATTATTTCTTTAACGCAATTGGGACTCGCTGCTTAATTATTATTTGACCCCAAGTTCATGTATTTATTATCCAATGAGTGGGTAGAACAATTAACATCTACTTCTCCAACCCCTTCTGCTGCTGCAAATGTTCTAGGAATCGTCGGACTTTCTGAATGATTTTCCTCCGCTCAGAAACCACCAACTTCCGCTTTTTAGCTGCTGCTGGTAAAGCATACTTATCAGAAACCGAATACATCAGTTGATGATGAAGCAGATCCAGAAGATGAAGATTTTGTATTTTTGTCACTTGATGATGAAGCAGACGATGATGATAATGTTGTAGTGCCCAATGCAACAGGGCCGTCAACATGTTCAAACAATCCTTTTTTTTTAATTTGATCAACAGCATGACGTTTTAATTTATTTTGATTCAAATCGGTAATTTGTAGCAGATTTCTTTGCCTAATATGAGCAGGTTTTTTGTGACTGCCCATTATATATTTATCAGCGTTAGGAAAACCCTAAATCCAATCCGTCAAAGTGTTGTTTGAACAGCTTTTAAAAATTCTAAACCCGATTACGGCATTTACAATGTGATATAAATGTTATCAAATTGATATTAAACGAAAATATTATTAATAATAACATGATTAATAATAAATATTGAATACAAATGTTATTAAATGTTATTAAAAATCTCAGAACTTCTTTTATTTTAAAGTACAACTATATTTCCGTTGGAGATCGCATCAGGCCGTAAAACTTAGATTGCACTTTGAAGGATTGGATTTAGTGTTTTCCTCAGCGTTACTTTTGTAAGAGCGCCCGTCCTCGTGGGAACATTCTTTCATATTTATTCACTATTAATATATTTTACTAACACGGCTTAGTAAATTGACTTTAAAGAAGATTAAATAATAATAATAACAATAATACTAGGAATTTCTCAAGTTCAAAGAAGCAATTTAACGTAACTTTTATATTATTCTTGATATTATTTATTACTCTTGATATTTGCTATATAATTTAAAAAATTTATGTTTATTATTCTAGAGGTTAATAATAATAATTATAATAATATTATTGTAGAGTTTAATTTTTTTTAAATCTTTCTGAAAAGTCTTTTATGGACGTCAAACTGCAAACGCTTTTTTTTTAAAATATTTATCTGTTGTTATATTTATATATGTAGCTCTCTATCTTAAATTCTATTTAAGACGCCATTAATTTAATGGCATCTTGAATAAATTTTGACTAGCGGTAATTGCCGGCTGTGCCGGCAAATAATTCTGAGATCAATTGCCGGCAGGATGTATTTAAGTATCAAATTTTAATTAGTGTTTGTAAACAAGTAGCAGAATCAAAGTAAACAAATTACATGTAATAATTTAATGCCGGCAAATAATTCTGAGATTAATTGCCGGCAGTACAAAAAAAAAAAATGAAATAATGTTTATTTGATGGCCTAGAATGAGCGATCATAAATATCTATCTAGTTTAAAAAAAAAATAATAAGGAATAAAATATATAGTAAGAAAATAGTTAAGAAAAAAATAAAGAAAATCTAACGGAATTATAGCGTTTAGATTATCTATCTAAAGTGCAAATAAAGGTAATAACCCAGTTATAGAATAGGAATTTATATCGGCAGTGCAATTAGTGCTGTGATAACTGCTAGCATAACAATTTCAGAGTATGATTTATCTATGGAAGAACTGCTAGTGTTACAATTTTAGAGCATAAATCTATCGGCAGTGCAATTATTGTTAATAACCCATTTATAAAGTATTAATTATCTATCAGCAGTGCATTTACTGCTGAGAGAACTGCTAATGTAACAATTTTAGACTATGATTTATCTATCAGCAGGGCAATTATTGCTGAGAAAACTGCTAGTATAGCTATTTTAGAGCATGAATTATCATTGGCAGTGCAAATATTATTAATAACCCAGTCATAGGGTGGGAATTTTCGGCAGTGCAATTACTGCTGTGAGAACTGCTAGTATAACAAGTTCAGAGTATAATTTATCTATCGGCAGTACAATAAGTGCTAAAGAAACAGGTAGTATAGCAATTTTAGAGTAGGAATAATCTATCGGCAGTGCAATTATTGTTAATAACCCAGTTATAAAGTATGAATTATCTATCGGCAGTTTAATTACTGCTGGAAGAATTGCTAGTGTGACAATTTTAGAGCATGAATTATCTACCGGCAGTGCAATTAATTGTAATAACCCAGTTAGAGAGAGGAAATTATTTATCGGCAGTGCAATTATTGTTATTAACCCAGTTATAAAGTATGAGTTATCTAATTAATGGTAAAAACCCAGTTATAGAGTGGGAATTATTTATCGGCAGTGCAATTACTGCTGAGAAAACTGCTAGTATAACAATTTCAGAGTAAAATTCATCTATGGGCAGTGCAAACAAGCAATATTATACCTGCTACCTATGTATTTACGAAGTTTGATTTGTCTTCCGGCTGTAAAGCAACTGCAAATAAGGCAACTAAATAAATTCAATTTATTTATTTGGCAAATTTGGCAAATAAATTTGATTTATCTACCGGTAAACTGATTATAAAAATTAACTAAAGGATTTAGAATTATTTATTATTGATCAGATTTTACAAAAACAAGATTTTCCGTTCCATTTTAAAATACTTTTTTTGAACATCTTTAGACAATTTATTGACATAGTTTTATTGTCTAGGGAGTTCCATAGCGAGGTTGCTCTATATAAGTTACTTTTTATGAACTTATGTTTTGAGACTATGGGTGGGAGTACTAATTTTTTACTACATCGAAGACTTAACGGCAAGGTTTTTTTGATAAAAAGATCTATCATAAAATCTGGATTTAAACCATTTATAGATTTAAAAACTTCAGTTAACAAAAACCTAAAATTTCTAAGGTGAATACTTGGGATGTTTTCTATTTTTTGAATTTCTTCTAATGGGAGATCAAATCTTTTATAGACAATGCGAAGTCCTTTTTCATGAATTTTATTCATTAGGTTATTATTATACTTCGAACAAAACATCCAAATCAAAGGACAATAGGAAAAAATTTTAATATGATCATCAAATTTCAAATCCTTATCAATTGTAACCCCTAGAAGTTTAACCTTAGAGAAAACCGTGATTTTTACATTTCCAACCATTAAAAATTGATCTTTGTCCATTTTATTCAAAGTATTTCATGAGTATTGTGTCCATTTTGAATGTATAAGTTTGTATGTATATGTTTGTATGTATATATAAAGTATTTTGTCCATTTTGTTCAAACCATTTTATTCATGAAATTGCGTTTGATATTTCTATTTGAAGACGAGCAATAACACTCTCTAGGTTTTTGTCACAAACAGAAAGAGTGTTGTCATCAGTATAGTTGCAGATTTCAGAGTCTTTTATAAATAAAAGATTATTTGATGATTCTTCTACCTAATACCTAAGATAAATTTTATTTAATGAGTCTTCTACTCTTTGTCTCCGAGAATTAACTTTTCTTGAAATTAAATTGATTGCAAAGTTAACATCTTTATTTTAATCTCTTATGTCTTTATCTTAACTCGTATCTCTTTATCTTACTACAGATTCTAATTTTTATCTATATAAATCTCAACTTCGTCCTTGTATGGAAAACTATTGCCAAATCTGAAGCGAATCTTTAAACAATGCTTTTCTTTTTTAGATAAGGTGCAAAAACGTATTTTAAACATAATTGGACCTGCTTTTGCACCTAATCTTCAACCATTGTCACATTGTCGTAATGTTGCTTCTTTATATTTTTTCTATAAATACTAGTATGGCCGCTTATATAAAAAGCTAGCGTTTCTTGTACCAAAATTTATTTTCGTGTTATTCGTCATTCAGATAAGTTTCATTCTTTTACTGTGACTGTTTCTAATTGCTCTAAAAATTCTTTTTTGTCTAGTTATTTTCTTTGAACATCAGTTGTTTAGAGTTTGTTTCAATGATCTTGTTTTCTTTTTTCATAAATAATTTGCAATCTTTTAAGTTGTCTGTTAATCGTTATCTAGCTTTATAAACTTCCATCTATTCTCTTCCAATAACTTCCAACTCTAATAGTGGTTGCTTGCAGCTGTGTTGGAAGTGAAAACAAAAAAAAAGGCAGTAAGAACTTCTAGGAGCGCTTTAATATATATATATATATATATATATATATATATATATATATATATATATATATATATATATATATATATATATATATTTATATATATATATATATATATATATATATATATATATATATATATATATATATATATATATATATATATATATATATATATATATATATATATATTGTATATATTACCAAAAAACACATTCATCGAATGATTTTGCCATAAACACACCAAAACAACATCATATCACTTGTGCCCAGTCTATTATCAGATATTTTAGTTTTATCATTTTACAGCAAATTAATGATAGTAAAATTCGCAACTACATAGTATTTATTATATTTTATAAGTACTATTTATAAGTACGCATCCATATTATTTTGACAACTTTTTTTCTAGACGCATTACGGCGTTACTAGGCGCCACCTAACGTAATGTTATAAAAATATATATAATTATTGAACTAATATGTTTATTTACAATTAATGGCTTTCTTTACTTGATCTGGTTTCATTGGGATAATTTTCTTTGCTTTTTAAACAGAGGAAGTTTGCTTCATAGCATTGTTTTTTTTCAAACTGTTTTTCAGACCAACTTTTTGGCAATTTACTGTTGTCAATCAAAAACCTTTTCAAAAGAAAATTTATACAACCGATTTCGTTTGCAGGGTGAGAAACGATAATATCTTTCATATAACTGCAAGAAGCATTATCCATATAAAAACCTTTAGCATGGCTGGCAAATATCCCTAAATCCAATTAAAGAAAAAACATCATATAAACATCGTATATAATATATAGTACTGTTAAAAAAAAAGTTTTATAAGTTATAAAACTGATAAAAGATAAACTGCATAATAAAAGATAAACTGATAAAAGATAAACAGCATAATAAAAGATAAACTGATAAGAGATAAAACTGTTGTTTAACTTTAATTATTCCTTTTAATTTGAAATTATCTTTTTAATTTAATTTGAACCATTTTTGATTGGTTTATTTGTCGTAAGTTTTAAAACCTATTACCTGCTTTAAATGCGATTTTTCCAATATAAGCATCGTCAATTCGAAATACGTGATTCAAATCAAATAGCGGTATCATTTTTTCTACACTAGTTGTGGATAGAAAATATCCTCCACCGGAGCAATATGGGTCATATGTATCAATTTCATGTTCCTCTTTGGATACTTTATACCGACCAGATCTAAAGACGAGCGCATTTTCTATTTTATTTCCTATGTAAGCATCTTCTATATCATTTTCTTTCACAAATGCCAAGACGTTAATAATGTTTATGTATATGTCATCGTCACCTTTTAAAATCAGTTTATATTTAATGTTTTGATTAGCCCATATTAGTCCAATAATGACTTTTTTCGCCAATGTGTAAAAATCTTCAAGTATATTTACTAATATAATATCCCTCCATAGTTTTGCTTCTTCAGCTATGTTCATCATTATATCGGAATCTGATATTCTTCCTACAACAAAAACAATGATATATTTTCCACCAGAATTCCATTTTGATTCGTTTCCCCAAGTTTGTCGTATTCTATTTCTTCTATTGACGTGTTTTACGTGTGAAGTGATAATAATCAAAGTTGAATAAATTATGTTGCAGTCTCGTTTTACACTGTCAAAAATGACATAAGAAAGCGAATCTTCTTTATTATTAGTATTAGCTATTGTATTTCTGTCGCTTGTTAGCAACTGGTGATTTATATCATGCAAATTTTGAATGAGTTTTGCATGTTTTAAACTATCTTTTGTTTGCAAATATAGCAATTCGATGAAGACAAAGAACGCTATCGTAACAACCAGACCCAGAAAGAAGTATTTTAATAAAGAAATCTTACTAAATCTTTTTATGGTTCTTTTTATTGTTAAAATTAAGTTCTTAGACATATCTTAAAAACTAAAATCAAAAATAAAGTTTTTAAAATTAAAAAATAAAAAGAAAAAATAAATGTAATAATTTATGCAGAAATAGAAAATAAACTAAAATAGTTGTAATTAGTAATCGATTAACAACATGCATATATAAAGTTCTTTTTATTACTGTAATTCTTATAATTCTTTATTTTACACAGTAATTACAAAACGTACACCAAAAGTTAAATGCCAAAAATGCTTTAATCAGCACTTGTAAATTTAATGTTGATTGTAGAAACATTTAGGATATTTAGCAGAACGATTCCAATTGTGTTTATTAATTATTAAAGTTAAAAAGACTTTCAATGTTTTTTTTTAAATGACAAAGTTAAAAGATATGAAACTAAATACTAGAAAAATCATGTTAAAGAAATATCTAATTTTGTTTGATAGCTTTTAATTTTAAAAACGTAAATGATGTATTGAAATGTCGTGCTGAGATAATATTCATTGGCATGAAATATGTATCAAACATTAATTATGCAGGTTAAACACGCAGCTGAAAAGTTTTTTTCAATTTATTTGAAACATGTAATACCTGAAAGTTAATAGTAACCTTTTTAAGATGTTTAGTACTCAGATTCTATTTTTCATTAAAATATTTTTTTTAGTTCTATACTTCAGTTCTTGAATTTTAAAAAGATTTATATATATATATATATATATATATATATATATATATATATATATATATATATATATATATATATATATATATATATATGTATATGTATATGATATATATATATATATATATATATATATATATATATATATATATATATATATATATATATATATATATATATATATATATATATATGTATATATATATATATATATATATTTGTTATTAAGGTGCCCCAAGAAGACCTACGGTCTTACATACTGTACTTACGTACAGAGCACCGCGGAAGTGCATTTAACCAGGATGTTCTCGCCTCTTTCCTTACCGTGACGCAATAATATGTCCAAAGCTCGTTTCGAACCTGGATCTCCTGATTCTAAAACGAACCACTGCGCCACGGTGCAGTGCCGTGGCGCAGTGGTTAGAGCGCTATATATATATATATATATATATATATATATATATATATATATATATATATATATATATATATATATATATATATATATATATATATATATATATATATATATATATATATATATATATATATATATATATATATATATATATATAACTGCAATATTAATCAACTTTATGCTGACATGAACATTGAATTAGAAAAAGTAAATGATTGGTTCAGGTCAAATAAACTTTCTCTTAACGTTGAAAAAACACAATATACCTTGTTTCATAAAAAAACACAAGAAGAAAACCCTCCTCTAAAACTGCCAAAACTTATTATAAATTATAAACAAATTAAAAAACAAGATACTATAGGGGAAGTGGGGGCATAACCGCATATGGAGGCACAACCATTTTTTAACATTTTTCTTCAAAAAATGTTATCTAATATGGCAAAAAACATACCACGCGTTAGTAAAACAGTTTCCTTCATTTTGCATATGTCAAAAAGAGTGACTGTTAAGTTCCTGAGAAGTTGTGAATAATAATTTTTATTTTGATAAAAATATTATATTTACATCATATTTTTCCTGACCTTCTTTTTGAGAATTAAGCAATATTTAATTTTAGTGTTAAAAATATGTGTTATCAGCATTATTTCATGAAGTGAAAGTTATTTTTGATACCATAATCTAATTGATACCATAATCTAATTGATACCATAATCTAATAATTAATCTGACACTGAATTCTTTCTAAAAACTCTCTTCTGGGGTAGAACTCTCTTCTGGGGCAGAACTCAAAATGTAAACACAAAGAATGCCTGCACAATATGCAAACATGCAACAAAATCATCAAATCATCTGAGCTGTGAAAATTATAAAAAAAATGTACCATGAAAGGTGTAGCCCCATCGATTTTTTTGAGGGTGCGGTTGTGCCTCACAATGGGGGCAAAACCGTTTTTTTCACTAAGTGTAACTTTTGTGTAATAACATTTTCAAAACCTGTTTAATTTTTTTCTTAAATGCATTAATTTAAAGCTTAATGATGTGGTTATTGAAATAAACTGCTAAAAAAACACATTTTGTTTTTATTTTCATATAACATTATTCCAAACGTTACGGGGGCGGTTATGCCCCCATATCCCCTAAAGTTTTTAGAAGTTATTGTGGATGATCATTTATTATGGCTCCCACACATAAAATATATACAATCAAAAATTAGTAGAACCATTAGTATTATGTATCGAACTCGCCCATACTTAAATTCACATAGTCTAAAGCTTATATACTTCAGCTTAGTTCATTGTTACATTACTTAGGCTAATATTACGTGGGCAAGTTGTCCACCAACAAAACTTAAAAAAATTCTTTCCTTACAAAAACATGCTTGTAGAATTATATACAACAAAAAAAGGGGGTACCACACTAAACCTTTAATGATGGATATGAAAATGATAAACATATATCAGATAAATATTTTCTAACACCTAATTTTTATGTATATACCAATAAACCTTTATGTATATACCAATAATCTAACTCCTGAAATCTTCATAAGCAAGTTTAATAAAAATTTAAATGAGAAGTATTTCTTAAGAATAAATCAAAGTAACACATATAAACTACCTAAAAAAGTAAACAAATACACAGAATATAGTATAAGTTATAGAGGTCACAAGCTATGGAACTCTTTTCTGAAAGACAATTTAAATATGGCAAAATCTTTAAATTCATTTCAGTTTCAAAAAAAAACTTACGTTCTAAATCTTACGGATTAATTTTTATTTTTGTTTACAAAAAAATTTTTTTTAGCATTATATCTGATTATTTAACAGTTTGTATTTTTAAATATTATATGTAATCTTTATATATTATATGTTGAATATAATATCATATATTTAATTGGAAATTTGTATTTAAATATATTCTTTTATAACTTTTTGTGACTATTAGTATTTATTAATATTATATTTTTTTAACTATATATATATATATATATATATATATATATATATATATATATATATATATATATATATATATATATATATATATATATATATATATATATTTATATATATATATATATATATATATATGTATATATATATATATATATATATATATATATATATATATATATTACTATATGTTCTTTGTTCACTATATGTATTTTTAAATATTATATCTTCTTTTTTGACTAATTGAGGGTGTTTTTACTTTTAATTGATTATTTAATTGATCTTTTTTCTCTATTTTTATTCTTAAATATTATATCTTCTTTTATACTATTTCTTTGTTTTTTTCCCTAAATTTTCTACTTGATTTATAAACCATATTTTACCATATATTATTGTTATGATCTGTAGGGGCTGTATGAAAAGATTAGGTTGGTATTTTGCCATCCATATCTTCTTTGAGCCCCTGACTGTTTGTTACTTGTACATTTGTAATTATATTTTATTTTTGGTGAAAGGCTACAACATAGAGTTTTCAGAAATCAAATAACAAATAACACGGTTGCCATATAAAATATACTCTGTAGATAAGAACCGTAGCCATTTTAAAAGTTCAAAAGTTTTTCGTATTTTCTCATGCATGCGTACCTAAACATAGCGCTTGTAAACTACTGTGCACAGGCACTCATACAGGCCCAAATGCCTATTGAACCACTGCCTTGTTTTGTTTGTTTCAAAATGCATGATTCATCGAACCGTTCGCTTGGAAGTCTACGCAACATTACGCGACCTTTTCTGTTGTCTACCTCAACGTTCATTTCATCACTAAAGACCACACGGCTCCACTGATCTGTTGACCAATTTTTATGTAATTTGCACCACTCTTTCCTAACAAATTTTTGTTTTTTATTAAAGCGAGTTTTTTTGCAGCACCACGTCATAATATTCTTTGATTGTTTTACTGTTAAAAAAAATTACCATCTCGGTTATAATTTTTGGTTAGCAATATAAAGTAGAAGTCAAAGGTACGCCTCGTATTCAAAATTGAGACGGTTGGCGTAAATTATCGTTTACCCTCCCGCAGTTGTTACACCAATATTTTGTAATTACGTCAGAACGAAACAAGATCATCAAAAATTATCATATTCTCAATATTTTATGCTTATCTATTGCTAATTCTATGGGTTATATGAGATAATACGAAGCTGTTGTCATGCTATTTAAATTATGATAGTACTTGGAGAAGTTGCTTAAGACGATACGATTTTAGATTCTAAAGATTAGATGCAGCTTTTTATAAGGAAAAGCCCGTTTTTCTAAAGTTATTCTCTGCGGAGCTTTATTTTCGTATTTCGAGATCAAAAGTTTTTTCAAAAAATAGTATCGTTTTAAATAAATAGTTTCTTTTTTAGAGATAGGAAAGATTTATTATTGTTTTTTTTATAGTTAAGATAAATACTTTTTACTTAAGTATAATTAGGGACGGCAATCCCGGGATTTCCTACAAATTGTTCATCCAGAAATTCCGGGATTAGTCTCCAAAATTTCCCGGATTTCGGGATTGTTAAAAAAAGGAAAAGTTAATAAAGTTTAAGCTTAATTGTAGTTTAGTAATTTTTATATTGTCTTTATATTGTTAATTATTTTAAATAATATATAATAAAATAAAATTAATGTATAACTTTTATTAAAAACTCTTGCTCTTTCCACCAGCAAGCGCTTATATTTTTTATAATATACAAGTTTTAATATTATACTATATATAATATATAGTATAATATTAAAGCTAGTACATTATAAAAAAATAAAATTTAAGCGCTTGCTGGTGAAAAGAGCAAGAGTGTTAAATATGAGGTATACATTAATTTAATTTTAAATTTTCTGCTTCCAAAGTGTGCACGATTTTAATTCCATTTTTGTATCTATTTATTTTAATTTTTAAATGTGTGATTTATGAAAATGCGTGATTTACGAAGTTTTTTTT